AAGTGGATGGCGGTTATTACAAGTGGCTGGTTAGTGGCCTCCTCTTGTAAAACTGACTAACTGCCTTCTGTTGGTCTGTTCCAACAGTCTTGACAGAACTATAATTCCCTTATATCATCAGTAGCACTGAGGAATTTTTGAAAAGTTGAGAGTGAATGCAGTTTTTGCCTTTGTCATGAAAATTTTTAAGGATCAGACTGGATAATGGTAAAGCTCCATGCTCTTTTACGAGTTTCAGCATCACTATCACTTGCCTACAACCCATAAAAGCAGGTTGTGCATTTTATGCAAAAGGAAAATAGTAGGGTAGAAACAACAATTTGCATTGATCAACCCAAAATGTTTCAGGTAGAAACAGCAATGGTACCAAATACAACCCAAATTTAGGGGGTGTTTGTCAATGTAAATAGTTTTGTTTTCAAAAACAAAATCAATTCTCACTTCATCCCCTCAGAGGGTTTTAACTTATTTAAGATTGTATGTAAGCTGATGAAAGGGATTACCACATAATTAACCCAGAAAGCGTCCTCTCAAAAAAGAGTAGAGGGATGCTTGGGATCGTCTTTTTCTTCTTTGGAGAAGTTGGCAACACAATGAGATGGACTTTGGTCACTTGCAACGAGTGTATGACAGTTAATCTGCTTGCTATACGGTTTGATCATATTGGTATCATTGTATTGACGTGTTCAGCTGGAGACTGGAACCATTTGATGAAGGTGATGTTTGCTACCATGGCTGTTTTTACTTGACATGTTGCACATCAGTGTGACCTGGGCGTTATTCAAAATGCCAATTTTTTGTTTCATTGAGACTGATTGAGTTAAAACTTAAAACAGTTAAACATTTCTTACTAGACTAGAAATATAAAGAAGAGGGTGTTGGGGGGAAGATCAATTTGTGTTTCCTCCAACTGCTCGTTTAAGGTCAGTCCTATGACCTGCTTCTTCGTTGGCATCTTATGTGACAACGTATAGATGTATTTTGGTGCATCACATACTAGCATAGATGGATGTACATCAGGTTTTTTTTTTACTTAAATTTGACCATTGGATATAGAAGGGGTGGTGTCACATTGAAAATAAACATTTCATTTATACGTTTTAATTAACAATGCAAATTCAAACACAATACTCTTCAAATCATTTGTTCAATGCCTAATCAGCATAATTACCAATCAAACAAGTCAGGCATTTTGAGTCTTTTGCCAACAAAACAAGTTCCAACGCCCTACCAACTTGATTTGGCACCGTATATCTCGCTATAGAATTGGTGCTCACTAGACCTGTTTTAGGCCCATGGGCTTGGGCTTGGGCTCGGGCCTAAAGTATCGGGCCCGATTTTTTTTCAAGCCAGGCTTGGATTTTCTCAAAAAATCTCGGCCCGAGCCCAATTTAATAATAAAAATATATTTTATTTAATAAAAAATATATATACAATATTTTTTTTTTGTTCTCTTTTATTCCAAGTAATACTAATAGTGAGTTGTTTATTATTTTTGAGTTTTGAAGGTTTTTAATATAAATAAAATACTTTTTTATTGAATAAAAAGAAAAAAAAATATGTTTTCAAATTTCTGGCCGAGTTCGGGCTCAGGCCTGGGCTTTGGGCTTATATGAGGGCCGGGCTTGGGCTCAAGACTTAGGCCTGATGGTCAGGTCGGGATTGGGCTCAGGCTTGGGCCTGAGTGTGTTTTGTTGATACATATACAAAGCCCGGCCCGGCCCATGAACAGGTCTAGTGCCCACTATAAAAGTGGGGCTTGCCATGTATGAAATGTGCTGTGTCAGATGTTATTTATAGGGTGTTGGAATTTTGTTGACAGGTGATCAGGACACTAAAATGCCATTGCTTCTTTAAACATTTGAGCAAATGACAATGGTACCAAACACAACAGAATTTTTTCTATCTGAAGCGGACTATACCCTCCGCCATCCTCCCTCTCTACATTTCGGTTGGCAAAAGAAAGCCTTTTTTGATAATACGTTGGATATCCATTCTACCCTATTCTTGGCTGGGTGGATAGGATTGGAACCAAATGCGCTATTGGATTGGGACTAGACCTGGCAAAAAGTTGACCCAACCTGCGAACCCGACCCGACCCAACCTGAAAAAACAGGGTTAGGGTCTCATATTTAGTTACCCGAATGCAAAAATGACCCGAAAAACGGGGTTGGGTTGGGTCAATCCGCTGACCCTATTGTCAAGTCTAATTGGGATTATTTATGCATTGTTAGAAGTTTCTACTCTTTAATTTTTTTCTATTTAGTCTTTTACTTTTTATTGTTTACTCTTTAAATTGTTAAATGTTCAAGTTTTTTATTTTTTTAAATTTCAATTATTTTTTGGGATGACCCGAATTGACCCATGGGTCAACCCTAACCTGAACATTTAGGGTTAGGGTCTAGCATTTGACAACCCAATCTGAAATTCAACCCAACCCAAAATCAATCCGAAGTACCTTGACCCAACCCGAACCTGACCCACCCAACCCAATTGCCAGGTCTAATTGGGACAGTGTCTTCTGCCCAAAAAGGGCTGCTTTGGAATAGATAGCTTCATCCTTAGAAAGAAAGACATCAAACTGCACTTGGATGAATAGTGGGGTCTAAAAAGCTACCTTGGAATTGGAGAATAAAACCAACAGAGATAAGCTGGGGGATAAGTTCCTCGCTATTTAGGACAAAATATCAAGAGGTCCACCTCATTTTTTTTTGGTAAAAAATAGGTTAAGACTGTGACAAGTGTTTTTAAAACCGGACCAGACTGGACGGTCAGACCAGAAAAACCAGGAACCAGTCACCTGACTGGTTTTGTTTCACCCTAAAACCACTTTTTGACAAAAAAAAAACCATTGATTTAGTCAGTGGATTACTGATTCAGGCAATCGAACCGCTGAATCGGACAATTATTTTTGGCCATTTATTTATTTATTTGATTTATTTTTTTATCAAAATGGGCCATCTGAACAGTCAGACCCGTTTGACCCAGGGTTCCTTGTCCGTTCCGGTTTTAAAAGCCTTGCTCGTGACTAACCAAATGCAATGCTAGCTCAACAAATTAAGAAACTCTTATATTCTATCAGTGACTGTAAAATGGTTCCTTCCGGAAAGGATTATTATTTGTAACTAAAAAGGGCAGCCCAGTGATATCTGTGTCTGGGAGGGACAGATGTAAGAAGCCTCACCCTGAGATACACAGAGGCTGCTTTTAAGATTTGAACCTATCACCCAGATTGTAATGGAGCAACCCAGCCATTGCACTAAGGCCTACCCAAGATTCGAAATTTCGATACGTATCAAGGGTTTTCCGATACGCCTTCACAGGGGGTGTTTTGGGATTTAATCCGGTTCAGAGGAGCCTTAAATCGACCCTTCTGAACCAGGTTTAAAAAACTAAAAATAAAATAAGCTTTGATACAGGCCGATAACCCCCTACCGGCAGGGGTGGAGCCAAGTATAAAGTTGGGGGGTCCTTGGCCCCCCAAACATTTTGTTAAAACTAGTAGACCTTTGTATAACCACTAGCTAAACAAAAATGTTAAGGAGTGTTCTCTAACTCTCTTATGCCCCTCCACTTAATTAACTCCCAAAATTAAAAAAAAAAAGAAATTGTTTTTTTTTTCATAAAAACCCCATAATAGATCCAAAACCCCCTACTCTATTTTTCTCCAAATCCTATATATTCTCTATCTCATTTTCTTGTTTTTGCCAAAAAAAAAGAAAAACAAACCATAGGAAAAATAAATAAATTACGTGAGAATTAAGTAGTACTGCCACAAAGCCTATAACCAACGGATATGAAAGTCCTCTCACCCTTAATATCATTTATGCATTTTTTACTTTCTAATTTCTACAGTGATATTTGTGTTGTTTATGTTGCAAATCTATATAATATAATTGACTTAACATAATTTTTACATTACTATAAACCAAAAAAAAATATCTATATAACTTGGCCCCCCTCCCCCAAAAGAAATGAAAAAAAAATCCTTTGAAAAAACGTTTTTACCAAATCTTGAGTGAAGATTTGGTAGAGCATAGAAAATCATCATTTAATGTTCAGATAAATGGTCCAACAAGTAGGTCACTTTTTTTAGTCAAGTAGGACAATGTGTTCACGAGAATGCACTCAACTTTAGTAATATCTTGAGTGAAGAAAGAAATACTGAATGCTCAGACTGAATTCTGTAAAACGTCGTTCAATCCATAAAACTATTATGAATTTGGACATCTCTAACTGCTTGCATTTTTGTTGACCAGTAAATCATTTTCATTACTTTCTTTGAAAACATTAAATTCCTTTAAGAAATGCATTTCTACATAAATTTTTCCTGCATCTGTGCCTTGAGCTAGCATATTTCATTTTCCTATAGAATTTCCTTCCAGAATCGAACCGACCTGTCGGTCCCACAGGAAATAAAAGCTGCCTCCGTTGGTGAATGCTCAAGCCATCGAGGAGCACCAATATGATTAGATGGCCACCTTGCCACCTTCTCAGCAGTCAGGGCATCCCATATAATAATCTACAATTTACGTTGTATTAGATAATCAAACAAATGAAATAAGATAAGGGAACCACCAAAGCCAGGAGCGAGACTAGTATTTAGCTTACTTCATTGCTTGGCTCATCTATTGAAAGGATGAATTCCTCCGTTTCATTGAAAACAGCCTGTGGGCAAGGAATTATTCAACTTTGCAGCACTTCTATCATGAAATTGATTAAATCTATTTTAAGAATTCAAATAGGTGATGCTCTACTTTTCTCAAGCTAAAGAAAACAGAAATAATGGTTTGTTCAGCTTATGAACATTCAAAATCAAAAGAATTCTCCATGAAACCTGAAATGATATAGACCAACTTGTTGAGAATTCCTCAATTTGCAACATGAAACTCAGAGCCCCATGTGAAATCACGATATTCACTCATCCCAAGGCTCTTAAGAAACATGGATGAAGTAATGGATAAAATGGAATTGCCTCATAGCAAAAGCCTAAAATATGGAGTTGAAGTAGAAAAACATACACAAAGCCATGGAGATAATCCATTATCAAAATTCCAAGGCCATATCACCCAATTGTTGGTCCTGGCTATCCAGGGGTCATAGGAAGGTTGAGCCTAACCTCTTTTTTTTTATTTATTTATTGGGCACCAAGTGGCTACTTTCAAACTCAAACCCACATTTCATGCTTGTCATCCCGAGATTTCACCACTGCACCAAGCAATGGCCTCCTCCATGACCAAAACAGTATTTGAAATATGGGTTGTTAATTACAGTTTCAGTGGATTGCAATATTTAAGGCTTTAACATGATTTGAATGGAAAAAAAAATGATTAACGCAAACATGTATATTCCTAATTCTGCAAGCACATATTGGCAACAATTACTATACCTGGCAACGCATCTGTGCATGTATAGCTCCAATATATTGTTTCACCAGCCTTCCAGTGCTAACCTCCCACAGCTTCACCGTGGAATCCTTCCCACATGAGAGAACAAACCTAATGACTCAAGTCATATAATGAATGGTGAGAAAAACATATAATAGGTCAAACAGAAAATATGGGAAAGAGAAAATTAATAGTAGTATTAGCACTTTAGTCGTGCCACAGAGGTGTTACAGGAACTAGCATAAAGCTACATCCATGGGTAAAAGGACAAATCCTGTACATATACTAATGGTAAGAACTGCTTCAACATCTTCAAGCTAATAAAAATGACAAAGATCACCAACTAAAAAACAAAGCAAAGATCAGAAGCAATCTGATCATTTTGGACAGGTACAAAATACCATAGAAATGCGTGCTTGTGCAGGCAATGAGATATGTAATAGCAGCATATTTCAAAGTCTGGCCAAACTCGTAATTACTTTTAGAGTTATAGGTCCCTGATGGGGTGTTTTGGTCTAGCTCCAGCCTCCAGGTATGATAATCCAATATTTTTAGTTTCTAGACTGCAATAAGAGTAAAATACTGACTGTGATAACTTTTGCTCTCTCAGCATGGTTTACATGTAGATTGAAGATGAAGCCAATAACATTAATAGTTTAATACCGATTACTTACCAGAATAGGAAAGTTCACCAACCTCCACTACACAGATACATACTGCTAGATGCTGTATGACACATCCACAAGCTATGATACATGACTTTGTTCCAGTAATATGTTAATCACAAAAGTAACATATACTGTAAGATAAATTTACACACCATACACCAAATGCACAGTAAACTCCATTAAACTTGAATGCATTAAGGAAATTTACATATTTTATGTCATCCACAAGATGTGAAAAAGAAACTTGACAGAAAACTTACATAGAAAAGATCACCTAATGGAATATCCTTTCATGAAATGACTAATTCATTACCTTTGGTCTTTTGTGAAACTTGCACTGGTGGCTTCTGCTGAACCATGGGCCCCAGCAATGGAACGCACACATTTTGCAGTTATCCCATCCCAAATCCTAACAACACCATCCTTTGATGCTGTTACATACATACCACCAGTAGATGAATACCTCACCTGCATGAACTAAGAATTTTCAGAAAATTGAACTGGTTCCTTTCATTGATCAGTATACATATACAATGTACACAGTGGTTATTTCATAATCTAGAGAAGGGAGTTCTGTTCACTCCTGAGGCCTTAGGTTAAGAAGGGGTAGGGGACATGCCTGATTGATGGCCCCATTAACACCACTCTCTGGGACGCTTGCTGACAGGTAACACTGAAAAGTATTGACATCGTATAAGTGGGCAATTGGATGATCTGTCCCTGTAAATCGTTACATCCTCAACCAAGTTAGAACAAATAAAATATAAACATTCCAGAAACAGGGAATCTTGAGACAAGTCTAAATTGTATTATGTGCATTATGGTTTTTAATACAACATTCAGTGAAAACAATAACTAATTTATTTTTGATGAATAACGATAACTAATTTATTACAGGATGAAGAATAACTGAACCAGAGAAGCAAGATTAATTTGGTGGCTTTGGAGAAAACTGAAGCGTAAAAGACACATTGAAACAATAAAGCAAAGTCATACTGTCATAACCATACTGTGGCAGCAATTGCAGACATATCCATCCATATATGTGATCAACCTTTACACCTTTACTTGAATGATATTATTTCTCCCAATATAAAACCTAGAAAAAATTCTTTTATATAGAAGAGTTTTGTAAGTTCAATATTTAATTTTCTCAAAATTATTTTATCCATTTTACAAAGAAATAATTTCAGCTTCATATGGATGTTGATGCCTTGGAGATTTATATAGACATGGAAAGATAACAGAAATGCTATTGTAATGTGCACACGTGTGTTCGTCAAGATATGAAGATCAAAGGAGCATGTAATACTAAATCCAATTTCATTCAAGATTTAGAAAATGTCATAGAATAGAACCATTAAAAATAAGTAAATAGACAAATAGATTGACAAATAAGTAATTAAAACAGGTAATTAATACCTGCTAGAAGAAATTCCCCAGAAGGATGGAAAGATACAGACCGCACATTATGAGTATCCTGTGTCATTTCAGAACCAAATATTAAAAAAAAATCACCTAGTTGACAAAACATTACTCCATAGTTTGAGAAATATGCTGAACTTTAGGACACAAAGGTAGGCAGAACCTGGATAACTCTAAAAGCTCTCTTTGCCACAGTTTTTGAAAAATCAAAAAACCTGAAAAGCATAACCATATTTATTATACAGATCGCTAGGTAAAAAAATGTCTTCCTGACTTGTGGTAATTGTCCGACTACATGCAATTTGACAAATAAAACAATCTTCGGTAATACGAACCATTTTTTAGTATCAAAATCTAGGACCTTTGGATAAAACAGACACATGACAGAGCAAACATTTTCAATATATGCATGGCCAGATAGAAACAAACTAAGCCCCAAGGGGAAAAAAAAAGAAAAAGTAGAATGCCAATCAGTGCAACTTATTTTATAGTCAACAAACAGGTGAAGATGAACTAAAATCTCCAAGGCAGAATTAACTCCAGAAATTGTTAACATGGAAATTTACACTTTTCCAGGAAATAAAAAAGAGTAATGACATTGTTTTAATCAGTGATAAGATCAAATAACATAATTAACATGTAACAGTGTAAGAACAATAATCTGTTCTAAGTTGATTGAGAGAGAAACAAACCCCAAAAAAAGAAACCTTCCCAATGAGTGAAAGAAGAAAAAAAGGTTATTTGCTAGAGAGCTCGCAAACCTCCATCTGACGAGATGTTCACCCTACGCCTAGACAACAGAGCTCTCACCTCTCACATGTAATGCCTAAAAGGCCAAAGTACCCACAACCATCTTTAAACTAGCTATTTACTATCATCAAGTGACACTCCACCTCCACCTGTTGGCATTTTCTTCCTTGATCACATACATTAAAAATGTGATGCTCTTTTGAACCGCTGTCATTGCAATGATTTTAAATAATGGTCTGGAGGTAGCTTTCAGCTTTGCTGTGAAGACTAAATTTTGATTCATGAAAATTGACATTTACAAAGAAACTTGAAAAAACAAATGAAAATGGAGGTTCCAAACCTACTTTTATACCTCTCCCATTCTTCTTTACTATATTTTTTTTCTTTTTTGCTTTCCTATACACATGATATTTATCCTATTTCTTCTCTATTTCTTTTCACTTTTCTATTTAGTCTGAAACCCACAAATATATAATTCCATGAATCCATATTGACATTGTTCCTGTTAATGTCAAAATTGGGACATACAAGAATTTTGAATATTTGTCAGGATTTAAACCTCAAATAGAATTATTAGCCATAAATAAATGGGGTTTAAAAATGTATGAGGATCCCCAATTAAATGGCAATAGATGTTGCTTGAATAGTTATGCAGTCACCATTGAAGGAATCCTAAAAAGCATGTCTGCAAACTGGCCTGCATAAAGATACAGTACATATTCTTCACATGCTCTTTTTGAAGGTTCATATCTGCATCTCAACCAATTGATGTGTAGAGCTCTAGAAAGTGCACTTTTTCCCCAAGAATGGGAGACTACTCCTTCACAGGGACTGAACAACCTTCAGACTCATTAATATATGGACAGTTAGTGCCATCTTCACTGAACCTAACCCCTCAGGCTCAATCTTCAACTCAGTCTAGTGATTCTTAAGTTGGCACAGAAGGCTCAATTTGCAAAGATTTTTGCCAGGCTTGGCTCAGTCTTGTGATCCTTCATGCATTCAACTCAGGATTGGCTCAAGTTTAGACACAAAACTTGCAAGGGTAAATCTATGATGCTGGAAAGACATAATACCTTGAGAGCTTTGACCAATCAACATCCCAATGAATTTTGATGAATACCACCCGATTGGTTACCACTTTTGTGATACTGATTGATTGGTTATAAGATTTTCCAGTATCATAGTCAAACCCAACTTGCAAATATGCAAAAAAATTTAAGATCCATAACCCCTCTATCTAATTCATTGAAAGGAAAAAAGAAACTCAGCAACAATCCATAACCCCTCTATCTTTTGAATTTGGGATGTAAAAGAAAAACACAGCATATCCAAATGTGTTGAGACTGATGAAGCCAGCCCACCTAAGCTTGGCTTATCTTTTAGCTAAACAAGCCAGACTTGTAGCTTGGTGGAAACTTTCTATCCGCAAATTGAACTTAGATTCAACCTTGGTGACCCAAAACCAACTTATTGACACCCTGTCATGGGTTTTATCTGGCTCACCCGCCAAAAGAGAAGTATTGTATTTATAAGAATCTAAAAGAAAAGTACTAAAGAATGTAAATATCCTAAATTTGTACATCAAAACAGAACACTGAAGGGAATAATAACCTGAAGGACATGTATAGACACCAAACATTAAAATAGAAGAACTAGAGGAAATCCAGATTGTAGAAAACCTTACTTTATTGTATGATCTTTGGCGCTGGATATCAGAACTGTATTTTGAGGATGAAAATCCAAATCATTTATTGGCTGCAATTATATCAGTAGAACAAACAAAATAATAAAACAATACTTGGTAAACCCAATTGAAGTAAAACCATAAAACTTACATAAACAGGTAAGCAGGGATATAATAACTATTGGAATGATGAATAGACAAAAATCTGTATCATTGCGCATTTGCGCCAGAAAAGAAAAACAAAGTAACAAAATAAAATAATAAAACAATACTTGGTAAACCCAATTCAAGTAAAATCATAAATGAATAGGTAAGCCAAACCGAAACATTTGAAGACATCATAAGGAAATAAAAATTCCTATAGAACTGCCAAAAAATTCCTTCCAGTGTGTTTACGATGTGCACCACAATAGCCATGGCATTTACTGTCTATATAGTGATATGCAACCTAGCTGTGGATCACATTCCATAAAGGGACTCACAGAGTCAGCCAAAAATATCACAAAGAAATTAAAATTTTTTTATAAGCGGTAAGAAAGTATTATATTAATATGGATATGAAGGGGGGCAGGACACCCCCCCCCCCAAAAAAAAAAAAAAAAAATTGCAATAAGCTATACAGAACAGATGTATCAGAAATTCAGTATAGCATATACAAAAAAGGTGACTAGCTGTCAATCAAAAAAATAATAGAGCGGCAATCATCCTTAAAGACTTCAATCCCTATGTGAGCAAATTGAGGCAAACAAGGGATGCTATTCATGGTTAAATGATAGAGGCAGGGTTGTTTGGGATATGTAAACCCTTGCTCTTTTTGGACTATTTGGGGTGAAAGAAAGGCTTGCTTCTTTGAAATTAAAATAAATTCTGATGATATGATAGCAAGAAAGGTGAAAAGATTATGTGCTATCAATACACAAATCATTAAAGGGAGTCTTATGCAATGATTCTTTTGAGGATGAAAGTCATTTTATAGACAGTTAAACCGCTTGTTTGTGGTTTCCTTTTGTATATTTCCATTGTACAGTTCATTGTTGTACATGGGTGCCAATGTAAAGATTTTGATAGTTTAATACAATCCTCATCTGTAGGATTGGATGCTAAAAATTGGTCAGAAGCTCCTCATCTGTAGGAAACATACTGAAAATGGGCAAGTATGACTCATTTTGACCAAAATGTCAAACTAGTAGTTTCCTATGCAAACCAAGCAAGAATCCAAACCATACAGGTGGCTTATTATGCTCGAGCCAAACCAACTTGAAAGTTCTTAATGCCTTGATAGAGTCATTATCACATTGGCCTGATCAGCCTAAATCCAAATGCTAAACTTAATTGGGAAGGAAAAACTCTTATATCTGATTAAATTTCAGGCAGAAAAGTGCATATGGCAATGCAATTTGGAGTATCATTTGAATATCTAAGGTCAATCAGTTGTAGATGTTACATGGGTTTACTTGTAAATGATCATAAAATGTTCGAATGACAGGTCGAACAGGGCCATCCCTTGCATCTGCTAGCATCATTTGCTTGATTTTTGAAATCTGTAAGATGAATCAAAATCTCAGTTGAAGTGATAAACAGGAGCCCGGAGAAAAAAATAATTAGGATCACATCGTGTAGGAGATCAACAACCTCAAAGAGCTTAATTGATGTGTCTGCACTCCCAGTTGCAACAAACCTCCCATCAGGACTAAATCTTGCGCATCTGGCAACATTCTACAAAGTTTAACCACAATCAGAACCATGACAAAGCAATGTTATGCCCATAGGTGGAAACAAATAAAATAGGCAGGATGTAAAGTTAATGGTAATATAATTGCAAACTTGACTATTAATATATGGTCACAAAGAAATCACAAGAATTATGTTGCAGGCAGTAACACTTTATATGCCTATTAGGAAAATGGCAATCACCAATGTGAAACAAAAAACCCCAAGAGAGGTGTAAAAGCCTTAAATCTTCCAGAATATAATAAATAAATTTTAGCTTAAGTAAACTCTATATCCTGCAACAAGGTCCTTAATTTTGAAAAGAAAACGCATGAGGTTTGTGTCTTAACCAGTTTATGGCTTTCCTTTCACTTTTTTCCTTGGTTTTTTTTTTTTTTTTGAGGATTTAACAATCTTATCTTAAACCTTCCGCACTAGGACCAGACAGGCAGACGCCCAAATGGAAATGTTTTTTACTATATTGAGTCGTGTCCATAAATGAAGAGTAGTAGATCCCATGCAACACTCTCTAGAAAATTGTGTAATGTGTACCTTATGCTCTGAAACATGTCTTGTCTCGTGCTTTGGAAAACTCTTTGATGAGCCTTTTGTATCTTGCACGGCACTGGTTAGATGAAAGATATCATTAGCAATTCAATTTTGATTAGTTCTCCTCAAGCAAAACAAGGCAGCATTTTCCCAACACTTTGGGTATTTGCTGCTCTATTCCTCTAGGACTGAAAGAAAGAATGCTGGAGGATTTATTAACAGAAAAACCCTATAGAGCTATACATTTTATTAATACAGAAAAAACAAGTAATGATTTACATAATCATTTACAAATTTAGCAAGTACGCTTTCTTGCCTGAAATCAATGGCAATAGTGCGAGGAATTGGAACTGAGCCATATCCAGCAGGTATTGCTGTTCCGGAGTCAAATATTGCAGCCGAAGAAACCCCCCTTGATGCCTCATCCCTCTCTACTGCAAGACCCTGTTAAAACATTCAGAACCCAAGAACTCCAATAACCACGGAGAGCAATACACTCAAATTGCAGGTTGAAAAAAATCCAAACCTTGGCTACGAGATCAAGAAGCTTGTTGGGAGGGGCTTCAACATTCAACGGCGTCATGGTTGCAGAGGCGACCGCGGACGCTGCCTGTGAAGTCGAGGATTAAAGAAACATGTAATCTCAGTCAGCATGACGTAATTAAGCAGAAAAAGAAAATGGAATTGAGATGAACTGAGGAAGATGCGTTGCCTGGTTGAGATTGTTATCGCGAAGATGTGCAACGATTAAAGCATTAACCTGCCGAAGCAGCTTGCCCTCCTGCAGAATCTGCTCCAGGCTTGTATCCATCTTAGAAACCAAAAACCTAATAAACCTTAGTTCCCGCCTCTAAAGGCCAAACTTAATATCTCTTGGACTCTTTGATCGGGAAACCCAAAACTTTCTTCCAAGCTCTAATTTGTCTCCATTTGAACCTCAAGAGAACCCTGGTAAGGAACCATGAAACTGCTTTTTATTTTACAAGATAATGTCTGTTTATGTCTCACTTCTTCCTTTGAAGTTATGACTGTAACTACAATCCCTTTGAAGCAGTAAGTAGTTTATGCTAAGAAGTAAGAACCGAATCTCCATTGTTTTGCTTCAAAAGTCCAAACTTTTTTTACATCTGCAGCTTCCATTCTTCATTTAAACCATGAAATTCGAATCAATTCAAGCTATAGATTCTGAGTTTTTACCTTTCATTTGCGATTTGGACTTCGGAGAACTTCAAGAGTGTACCTGATTTTGCCGCACAACAATGACGAAGAGGGAGTAGTGTCACGGTCGGATACAGGCTTAACCTTGCTTGCCTACGCTTGGCGGGCTTATTTTCAGACAGATCTTCAAAAGCTTTGAGTAACCTTGGCACTCTTAGACCAACATCCTTTGCGGGGCGGCCCTTGTTAATGGCTAACATGGCTAACAGGGTTTTTCATGGACGCACACATACTCACGGGGATAGAGCATGGATCGGCACTGCACCACCGGCACTCAAGAGAGGCTTGGCATGCGGGCCTGGCCTATGTATTACCCTTCACCACGCCATCCCCTTGCCTAAGCTGAATGAGCTATCCTGTTGCCCATAGCGCACGGGTGTGTTTCAACCCAGCGGTTGTCTATCATCAGTGACACATCGGGTGCTTACATCATCGGCATACAGGAGTCCCTTCACATCAGCGCCAAGTCGCTTCTCATCATGGCTATCCCCCTTTAGTACGTAAGTAGTGCCTCCCATGAACCGACAAGAGTCAGTAGAGTGCCCCGGCCATGAGCCTTGAGGTCATGATCCAGTGCTACTGACTTTGGTGGAGCCAACTCATCGGGCAACTCCTAGCCCTAAGCACACATAAGGCTTATATTGGCCTCCCTTGACCTAGACGTCGCATAGGTTTCTTCCGCTGTAGATCTACCCCCGTGACAGTTGGTATCAGAGTGAGCTAGTCAACTGCTACCGTAGTTGGTATCAGAGCGAAAGCATACAAAGCCAATTGAAGTGGTTATCGCGACAAGCAGCATCGTGGGGTGTGGTCCCTCAGCACTTCCACTTGGGCACAAGCAAAAATCTATACATCAAGCCTGGCAAGAGGCCATTCATCATGTCCCCATTCCAATGACCCTGAAGCAACGCTCATGCGGGGGTAGACGCATGGGCCATCTTATGGAAGGCATATTGTGGTGATTTGAGTGGAGGAGTGTCATGCTTCCTCACAGACATCAGTTGCTGTTCATTTTGGTGAGTTGTGGGCGGTGCGCCTACATCTTGGTTTCATGACGGATAAGTCATTGTTCCGTAACTTGTCAGAGGCAATACTAAGGCAGGGACAACAGTCCGAAATTGGTTTGTGTCGACGGTTGGTCAAAGAATATCACTGAAGTGACAGTTTTGCACACAAATGGGTCATCTATTGAAGCCACAATATTGGAATGATAGGAGTGTGGGTACACTGGCCGTTGGAGCATGGCGGCCCTACACCGGCAATGCATCGGAGGACATGCTCAGCATTACACAGGTGGAACATTTGCAACATCAATCACACATCACACAAGCGAGTGCATGCTCGGCAACATTATGGGTAAAAGTTGCCACCGCTCGCACACATTGCGGTCAGATCTCCTTGAGGCAGCAACACATTGGGGCCCCCTCGGAGCGAAGAGGTAACCCAAGTCGGCAAGGCGAAGTGTAGTTTCGGGGGCTAAGAGACCATAAACCATGGAATAGGTTTGAGTAACCCGCACACGGCGAGAAGAAGTCTACAAGCCAACATGGTGAAAGGGTACCCAGGACACATCGCCAATAGCAGGAGCAGACCTATCACATCGTGTTTGATAGCACCACCGAAAAGGTACCAAGAAGACGGTCGAGCCTTGAGGTAAAAATGATACATGGGGCGGACCTTCGTGAAGCATACACATTCAATTTCTTCGATGGCCCTTCTCACACACTTTCAACAGCATAGTCATCGCGCGGTTTGAGTAACCTCAATACAGGGGGTGAAATCTAGGTAGGCCCGCATGGTGAAATATGGTGAAATGGTTTTGCCCTCATAAATGGATACCAATATAAGCGAGACCCGATTTGGCCAAGCGAGCCCAGGAACTAGCACACAAGTGGATGGTATGGGACATAGACGCCCATTCACAAAGGAGCCATTGTCGAGGACGACAATGGTTTGAGTGGGGGAGCCTATCACGGTCTGACACAGGTTTAGCCTTGCCTACGCTTGGCGGGCTTACGTTAAGGGACGCCACTATCATTTTTGCCAGTAAGATTATTGGGAAATCTCATGTCATTTTCAAACAGATCTCCAAAAGCTTAACATACTCTTTGAGGAGGGGTGGTCGACTTCCTTGGGTGCCTAACTTTGGCACTCTTAGACCAACATCCCTTGCGGGGCGGCCCTGGTTAATGGCTAGCATGGCTACCAGGGTTTCATGGGTGCACACATGCTCATGGGGACAGTGCATGAACCGACACTGCACCACTGACACTCAAGGGAGGCTTGGCATGCGGGCCTGGCCTATTTATGACCCTTCACCATGCCAGCCCATTGCCTAAGCTGAATGAGCTATCCCGTTGCCCATAGCGCACGGGTGTGTTCCAGCCCAGTGGTTGCCAATCATCAGCGGCACATCGAGTGCCTACATCATCGTCATACAGGAGTCCCTTCACATCGGTGCCAAATCACCTCTCATTATGGACATCCCCCTTTAGCACGTAAGTAGCGCTTCCCATGGACCGACAAGAGCCAGTAGAGTGCCCCTGCCATGAACCTTAAGGTCATGATCCAGTGCTACTGACCTTGGTAGAACCAACTCATCGAGCAACTCCTAGCCCTAAGCACACATAAGGCTTGTCCTGGCCTCCCTTGGCCTGGACACCCCACGGGGTTCTTCTGCTGTAGATCTACCCCCGTGACACTAGGGTGGTTGGTGCTGCCAATTGTGGGCATTTTTGCCAATGCAAACGCACGTTATCGCTTGAGTAGCTACTACACTCGAGTTTGTAAAGAGGGGTGCAAATAAATCAGATCAAATTCGATTCGAACCCGAATTGGATTGTTGCTAATAAATTGGATCGAATTATAATATGCTCCGACCCGATCTGAACAATATTATTTAGTATATATTATTTATGTATATTATACATGTGTATTCTATAATATTATTTATATAATTATATAATTATATATTATAATATAGGATAAATTTTTTAAACTATCCTGATTTAAGTAATTGAGTAAGTGTACCTTACTATTTGAAAATTAACTAACGCTATTCACAATTGATTAATCCTTCTTAATCATTAACGTGCCTCAACGAAAATACGAAAAAGATTATTTTACCCTATTCTCCCTCTCCCTTTCCTTCTCTTCGCCGGAACTGCCAGAACCGCCGGTGATCCAAAAAACCTCCAACAAATCGCTGATGGCTCCTTAAAGCACAAATATTCCCTGATGGAGATTGGAAAAACCTTGGTGGCTAACGAGGGTCTATCTTACGTCGTGTATGCTTATCCTGCACAAGGCGGTGGTGGATCCGAAAGAGGAGCCGTTCGTAAATGTAAATGGTGAACCAATGGAATGTTCTCATTTGTTTGACACGAGTCGACTCATAACATACTACGGAGACAAGCCAGAGATGAACGAGTTAATGTAGAAGGCCATGTCGGGGTTCTCTCACTTTATTCCGCCACTGCCACTGCAACTTGCAGCGGCGGATTTGATACTTCTCTTTCCACCACTCGCTAGCCAAACACCACCGCCACTGCCGATTAGAGAGGATCAGAGAGATTTTCGCCTTGTATTCAAAGCCCTGTACCTAAAACACCACCGCCTGGTATTACTGGAATGGGCGAAAATCTCTTGTACGATTTCTCCCAATTGAACGATCATCGCATATGGGGTTACGGCACAAAGAAGACCGATGTCATCACCAGCGATTCTCAGCCCTGTTCAACGTCATGAGTTGCAATCGATTCGCAGGGTCCACCAACAATTCCCAGCTTGTTCAATGTCACGAGTTACAGTCGTAGCAGTGGAAGCAGGGTCCACAAAGTGTTGGTCATAGTTTGGGGTTTCCGGAGCCAACAGCCGCAGCAATTGCCAATGGTTCCACAGGACTCAATGCAGCCATGGAAGCACAACTTATTTGGGGTTTCTAACGGCCGATGGGTTTTGAGGCAATTCGGAATATCTATATTAACCTACACACCCTCGAATGTCATCTGGTGGGCATCGTATTCCGTTGCTCAGAGACTCATCTAGGGTGGAATTCATTGCTATTTCTATAAAAAAAGATGATGAAAAATAGAGAGGGTATGGGCAGCAGCAACGGTGGCATCTTCCGACTGGATACGATGACAGTAGTGGCAGTTCAGGGGGTGAGCGCAGCATGGCAGGCATCAACATGGTGGAATTTCACCTCTGCCTCTAGGAATGAATTGGAGTCCCCTGCCTAAGAAATGGGTGGTAAGCTGCTTCAACAGCATTCTATATCGGTCCATCAACTTGATCCGAGTCCGGATCTCCTACCCACGAGAATTCTGTCCATGTGTGACTGTAATAGATAGGACAAAGTTCTCGTAGGCAAGAGATCTGGATTCACTTTATCTGACAAGATTAAGAAGAGATTTATTTTTAGAGACATTAAAGGGGGCTCGAAACCGCATTGTGTATAGGGCTTACCCAATTACATGTCAACCGAGCGGTTAAGAAGATTTGTTGGAGAAATGATACATATTTTCAAAATATGAGATATAAAGATGTCAGTTGTGATCCATCTATTTCACGACTTTTGCTTCATGGTGAGCAGATCCGAACTATATTCAAATATGTTTAAGATTATAAGTATATAATTATATTATACACATTTTTTTGCTACCCATCGGGGCCGTAACTCTTTCTACGAAGTATAGCATCACATTATTAACTACTTTTGTATTTACACATAATTCTTTTCTTTCAAAGATAATGATAGCAAGACTCGAAGCGACATTTTTTGTCCAGACAAATCATCCCCGGTAAGGGGCTGATGCATGTCCAATCAGAGGGCGCCGGTTTGAGCGTACAATAAGGACACTTGGGGTTCTGGCGTAGATTCAATGGACCCAATCCAAGGGTGCCACGTGGTTTTGACAAACAATCTCATCAGGCCCTCGTATGGCTTGTATTTGGACCATTCAGGCCCAACTACTCCCAAGCGACTCTGAGTATAAATATGAAACATCTCCCACAAGGTAAGGGGCTAGGCTCTTTGAACTCCTTCCAGAGCTTGAGTAACCTCCAAATGCTACTACCCTCTAGAGAATTCAAGTGTTATTTCAATCTTCATGTGGACCCTTCAGCTCTGGACTTCGGACTCTCCTTATGCTTGTACTAACTTGATCATCGGAGTCCCCGCCTCGGGTACCCACCCGAGGCCTCTAACACTTCTGTCCTTACAGGATCTCCTTTGGACCTCTCGCACGTAGCATTCGGTGCCAGCCTTCGGC